ATATTGTGTTTATGGTTTTGGAAAGTAAGAAAGTAACTAGAAGCGCAGGTAAATATGTAGAAATGTAAACTTTGCAAAAGAAGATCAAAGTAATGTAAAAAGACTTTATTAATAAAAAATGGTGTTTCCAATGTACATTCTCAGTTATTCTTTCACACACAACAGGTACTTGAATAATATTGAGTAACTAACACAATAGGTTGAACACACGGAAACTCTACACAAACTTCCTAGTTTTATACTAAAATTATGTAACTGTCGAGGGTGGATTCGCTTCTAGGATGAAGACAAGTGTCTTCTGCATGTCCCTCGACCTCTATCTTCCTGCCACGTCGCTTTCTTTTAACTGCTGGCGAACTGCATTTTCCTCCAATCTTCAAATTCAAATATCCTTCTCCTTTGGTGCTGACACGAATGTTTTCTCTTCTAGTCGAAGGTCACAGGACCTTTCCCGTCGAAGGCTTGATGGTGATGTCTGGTCGAAGACCAATTTGTAACTCAGATATTTTCTCTAAGTTTTTTCCATTCGTTGAAGCATTTTCCATCTTGGCTTTATCTGCTCTATTTTTTGTCTATGGGGCCAATATATAGTAGGTGTCGATTTCAAGAGCCAACACACGACCAATAAAATATTTCAACTCTCCTAAATCTTTCACATGAAAGCAAGTTCTAAGATAAGCTTTGAAATGAGCAAATGTTTCTGATTCATTACCTGTAATGATCAGGTTTTCAATATATACAAGTATGTGAAGAATAATACCATTTCATTCAAGAGAGAACAACATGTGAGTGCAACTTCACCATTAGATGTTTTACATGATGTCAAGACTAGGAAAATCTAGCATTTATGTATATTGGACGGTATCTCTGTGTTTGGTGTACCCTTGCATTAGAGGTCTTAGGAAGCATTCAAAACAAGTTTAAAATTGATCAAAATCATGAAAAATCATTTTCTGCACAAAACACACTTGCATGTGCCAACACATCTGCTTTTCAGGCCGACACATAAGCTTTTTGTGTTGGCACATAAACCTTTTGTGTTGGCACATGTTATAGCCTTGTATTTTCAGGCCGACGCGTACGATTTTCATGCTGGGACATGTAACTCAATAATGAAGCTTGTAGTTTATGTTAGATACAGGCCGACACATGCATCAGACAGGCCGACGCATACTGTAACTTTCAGTTTTATGTTCTGGCACATACAATTTTTAGGTCGACACATCTACTGCAGTATTAAAGGTTGTAGCTACTGATTTGCATAGGCTGACACATCTGCCTCTTCAGGACGACACATACTGTTAATTTTTTACTTATGTGCCGGCACATACGTATTTCAGGTCGGCATATACTGTTTGATTGAGTCAATTTTTAAATTTTTTAATTCCGAAAATTACTTCTTTGTCTACAAACTTCCACAACTCTAAATACATCATTCCAACTTGATGAAACTATAAACATTTACCACCATTACTCTTTACCTTCAACTTCCAACCTATGCATACACATTGATAAATCACACATAATCATCTTTTGTCGGGGTGCCATCTAGGCGTGGTTTGATAACATCTAATTAGGTTCTTGAGTAACCGAGAATATTGGGTTTAGAATTGTTGGGGGTTTCATCTGGAAACCTAGGGTTTATCCTCTAAGATCTTTGGTAGATTTGGGGGGGGGGTATTCAAGACTTTCAAAAGAGGATTGCGGCCAAGTGAAAAGTATTTAAAGTTTGGTACCCAAGGAAGTAGCGCGAGAAAGGCAAATGGAATTGAAAGGTCTTATGTTCAATAGTTATAATTGATCATGCGCGAAAGATCTTTGGAGTTTGGTATCGAAAAGAGTAGCAAGATTTGACAAATCAATTGGGAGCTATTATGTCTTGGTCTTGTTGAAGATCAAAAGAAGATAAGGGGTTGAATCGACATTAAACAGTTAGGGTTTGTAGGGTTGCTCTTGAACACTTCTCTTGTAATCATACTTTTTGTAAAGTAAGAAATTTATCTCAATTCCAAAATGTAATTAGGGGAAGACGTAGTCATAGTGAGGACGATTGGTGAACTTCCTAAACAAATCCTTCTCTCTCTCTCTCTCTCTCTCATTTACTTTCTATATGCAATTTGTTGAATGTGTTGTTTGATCGATCGATTTGTATAGAATTTTTATTTGAGTGTTAAAGTTTAAATTACTTTGTTGATTAGCTTATAATCACTTTGATTGTAAGTGCTTTTTCGTATCAATAAAGCTCAAAAGAAAATTCTGAAAAATTGATCGTGCGCCAAGTGTTTGACAATTTGTCAATCTATGTTTTTAACTTGATTTTATTGGAAATAGAAAACCGTTGTGTTTGATATTAAACGGTTAATTGAGATATTATTATGTTGATTAATTCTATCATTATCTTAATTCCATACGGCTGGTGCATATCCGAGTTTCCAATAACTAGGTTCGTTTAGACTACTATTTTGATCTAGGCCAAAAACCTTCCGCTCAACATTGTTTTTCAAATAAGTTTTTAAATACTTATGTTTGAAAGGTGATTTTTAATTGGGGATCTATTCACCCTCCTCTATATAAGTCGACATAGTCTAACACGATGAGTTATCAACATAGTATTGAACAAATCCAAATGACTTTAAGGAAGAAACAAGCTTAGAAAACCAGTTACGAGGGGCTTGACGAAGTTTGTAGAGAGATTTCCTCAATCTGCAGACCTTCCTGGGAGCAACGCCTGAAAATATCAGAGGAAGACTCATACAAGCTTCTTCATCAAGGTCTCCATGTAGGAAAGCATTGTGAACATCCATTTGATGGAGTTCCCAACCATGAATAATAGCCACTACAAGAAAAACAGTGATGTGTACCATATTTGCAACCGGAGTAAAGGTCTCATTAAAATCAATACCAGTAACTTGATTGTTTCCGAGAATAACAAGAAGAGCTTTGTGTTGTTCAATAATACCATTAGAGTTAAAATTAATTTTATACATCCATTTACACCCAATATTTTTCTTTCCTGGTTGCCAATTTTCAATGGTCCATGTACCATTATTTTCAAGAGCCTCAATTTTCATGTGCATGGCATCACACCAAGAAGAATAACAAACAACTTTCAAGAAACATGTTGGCTCAAATCCTGCAGCTACGGCTGCCAAGAAATGAACATGGGAAGCAGAAAAATTATTGCAAGTCACATAATTAGCTATGGGATAAGGCATACTACCTGAAGGTGAATATTGCAGAGGTGGCACAAAAAAGGGGTCTAAATGGCGTGATGTATGGCAAACAAAGTCTCGTAGTCGAACTGATGGTTGGCGATCTCATGAGCTACGTTGGATATCAATATTAGTTTAAATGGAATGAGAGTTTGTCGTATCATCCAGAGAAATTGTTATAGGGTTTTCTAATGCAACATTCTTGCCCTCTTAATTTTAACATATAAGTATCATTATTTGAGGAATTCATAGAGGGCATTGTTTCAACCGGTTCAGCTAAAGTAAAAACTTATCCTAATATAGATGGAGGAAGTGTGGCATCTTGTGTTGTTGTATGAGCTGTAGGTTCCATGTCATAAACTGCAGGATGAATAACACTAGTAGCAGTGATAGAAGATGTATGAGAATGTTTGTAAGAAAAATGATTCTCATAAAACACAACATCCCGGGAATCAAAATAATCCCTAATATTAATGTCATATAGTTTCTACCCTTTCTTTCCACGAGGATAGCCAACAAATATGCACTTCCTACTGCGTGGAGAAAATTTACTTCAATCACGGGGTACGTTGGAGGCAAAATAGAGACATCCAGAGGTCTTAATGTGATTATAGACGGGGTTATGGAAAAAAAAACTATATGATATAAGGTTTTTCTTTGTAGAGAAGATGTATGAGTACGATTGATAAGATAACTAGTCGTAAGAATACATTGACCCCCAAAACTCAATAGATAAATTAGCTTGAAACTGAAGAGCACGGGCCACATTAAGAATATAACGATGTTTATGTTCTGCTAGCTCATTTTCTTGGGGGTATGAACACATGATGTTTCAAACAAAAAATCTTGTTTGGCAAAATAATTTCCCAATGATGTAAATTCAGACTGATTATCACTTTGAATACTTTTTGCAGTCATATTAAAATACATTTGAGTCATTACACAAAAATTCTCAATGAGTTTTGCAACCTATGTCGTATTAGCCATTAAATATATCCAAAACCCTCTTGAATGATCATCAACAATTGTTATGAAATAAGAAGCACCACATGAAGAGAGAACACTATTTGGGCCCATACATCACAATGAATCAATTCAAATAAATCACCCACTTTATTAGAACTAATAGGAAATGAAGTATGAGTTTTTTTTTTTTTTGCTTTAAAGCATACATAGAATGTTTCATCTTTATTTTTACGAAAATCATTATTACTACCACTAAGAAGAAGGCCAAATATTTTTGAAGACGGATGCCCAAGGCGTTTATGCCACACTTGATAAAAATATGCATCAGTTGCATGACATAATTAAGTTATTGGTGCCATCGAGTGAAGCCAATAGACCTCATCCCTCTCTTCACCCGCTTCATTCACCATCTTCGAAGTGCAGTTTTGCAACACACATAGCTTGTCAGTTAATGTGACAACACAATTTAAATTTTTGATCAATTGGGGAAAAGAGATTAAATTGCAGGCTTCCTAGGAATGAATAGAACATGTTGAGTAGTCCAATTTTCACCGAGAGTTATTTTCCCTTCTTAGACATCATTATCATGTGCTCCATCAGGCATTATAATAGGAGAAGGAAAAATATTTTAGAGATCCATAAGCAAACGTTTATCTCCAGTCATATGATATGATTCCCTCGTATCCAATATCCAAGGAGAAAAATAATTACCTGTCAATACTTCATTGGAGGAAGGTTTATTGTTTAAAGATTTGAACATATTCAAGATGGTGTTCTATTGATCATTTGTTAAAGCGGGACCAATAACACTTTTGTGGATTGTCAAAACACATGAGGCAGAAAAGGATGGTGTTCCAGATTGAGCACCATTAGCAACACCGAGAGTACCATTTCCATCACCAACAACACATTTGACTTTCCCGGTGCTCTTTCCATTTCCACGTCCATTATTCCACCATTATGGATAACCAATAATTTTGAAGCAAGAAGCAGTTTTATGGTCTGACCTCCCATAATGGGTGCAAACACTCTTCTCAAAACGTCCTTTGAACCCCCCATGATTAGAAGAACCACCACAGACAACATATGAAACAACCTCATTTTGTGGTTTATGTAGCGCTCTTCTTGAACCACCAGAGAATACACTCAATTTAATGAAGCAAACGAATCTTGAGCGATAATGTTAGAATGAAGTTTTCCGTACAGATAATCATCCAAGCCTATCAAAAATTAATGAAATCGCTCATCCTCACATTCCTTGCTCAAATTTGTTGCCCATTTGCAAACACATTTTTCACGTGTACAGGCTCTGTTTGTGAGATATGTGGACAACTCATCCCAAATTTTCTTCAGATTCCCGTAGTAAGTAGTAACACTCTGACCTTTTTGATCAATGCGTGCCAATTCAAATCGTAGTTGAAGAATATGCGGTTTGTTGCCGATGGAGAACCACTAATGTAGATCGTCCCATAACTCTTTAATTGTATCATAATAGTTAATGGTAGAATGAATAGATGAGACAATTGATTGAATAATCCAAGCTACAAGCATGAAATTGACACTTCACCAAGGCACCAGTCCTCAATATTTGTTACTCTTTAAAATTACCAGACAAATATTCATGTTAGGATGACTAGAAAGATACAAATAATATGACGATGTCGTATTGAGAAGAATATACTTCTTCTCTTTGTCGCCATCACTCATATTGTCTCCATCAAAATCATTTTTAACTATGATATTTTTATTGAGACCAACAAAAAACTATAAAAGAAGAAGAAGAAAATCAGAGTAATAATTTAAGTTTTTTAAATTCACTCTAGTACGATAAGGAAATAATATGAAGCAATTGTTTGCTTTTTCTCATTCACTGACAGAGAATTATATACAACAAATTTCTCAATTTACGGGCCTAAAGATTATAAGATATTGATGAAAAAATTATGTTTCATATATGCTATTAAAATACCAGAGATATTGTATGAGCTACTTATTCTATATACTAATTACATGATAAAGTAAAATGATTAACTATTACTAATTACATATCTTAGGTAATTTTAGACATGAATACGGGTTTCGGCCCTCTTGCTTATTAAAAAAAAATTTAACATGAGTTAATAACAAAATTGGTCCATGTTATGAATTAAATTTTATTTTATTTTTGGTTAAGAGGATGTGAAAGAATTTATTGTACATATTTTGCTGTATGAATTGTGTGGTGGGGCAATGATGTTGGTGTCGGTGATTAATTGTGCTTTCACCAAGAGAAGGAAACGATGATTAGCCATTTGAAAAGTACACAAAGTCAAACCTTCAACGCACTGTACATTCGATTTCACAAATTTAATATATATATTTTATATATAGATTAAATATATTAAAAAAAATCAAACTTATTTATAAAATTAGATTCCAGAAATAAGACATTAAATTTTCGAAAATAAAACAACATAAAATAAAATAATAACAAAACAGCTATAGATATAGAGTGGAAGAATTTTTCATCAAACTACCAACGCTATCTAATTTATATACTAAAATCGTTAAATTACTTTATATTATTTTTGTTCTTAATTATAAGATTTTTTGATTTTTTTTTTTTTAAATTTTCTTCAACTTTTAAAGTATATTAATTTTTTTTTCAAACACGCTCTTAATAATATTATATTTTTTTATAATATATAATGAATATTTTTGTCTAATCATTAATTAAGATTTGAAAAAATTCTTTAAAACTATTTTTAAAGATAATATAATTCATCTTATATAATCGAGTTGATTCATAAATTTAATAAACTAAATTATATATAGTTCAAATTCAATTTATTTAGTTAATAAATTTAATTATTAACTAATATTCAACTTATTTAATTTATGAATTTAATTCAACGATTTAATTATCAAATTAAATTCTGAATTATTTTTGGTTCGGAATTGTTGATACATAGTAAACAAAGCATTTTTTTTAATTCTCTCTTCCTTAAAAAATACATAAAGTACTAACAAAGAGAATAAAATTAGGGGAAAGTAGCCGCTACTTGAAAGGTTAATAGTTAAAAAATAAAAAAAAACATTGCCCATTACATTTTTAACTATGGTCATGGTGGTGTAGTGCGCCTAGTGGGCACTACAAAATAAGGAAACTCAAAGCGCACTTTACAAATACGCTAGGTATCACATTCTGTTCTATCGTGAAAACACATCGAATTCAACAATTACGACGCATGAAAAGAAGAAAGAAAAAAGAAAAAATCTAACAAGACAGTAGCTTCACTTGCAAGTTACCATAAAAATATAGAAAGTCAATAACCGGCTAATGCTATGGTCCCTTTAATAAGGAAACAACAATGTTGGGAGGAACAAACAAACACCCTCACATCAAAATGCACATTTCTCAACTTTCCCATTTCATCCATTTGCCAATTAAAAAACCCCTAAATAATCTGCTTTAACGCTGCACGAAGTTAATTTAACAGCGTAATAAGCACGTTTAACCACACTTATAACTCTTTCCAGCCGCGCAAATTTTAAAAAAATTTGCTTATAGCTTAAAGCTTAAATACATTAATTGCAAACGCGTACGCTGCTGGAGCCAAAAGATCTCTCAATCACATGGACTCATCAATGCCTTTCACAACTCACCTGTTCCCCAACATTTACTTTCTTTCCTTTCCTTCAATTTTCTTATTTTCATCAAACAATCAAAACTATAGAAGTAACCAATTTCCAATAAATAAATAAAATAAAGCTAACAAACAAAGTTCCAAAATCAAATTATAATGATTGAGTTAAAGTCTTTGGCATGTTCTAATAATAACTTTAGCCCAAATCAAATCAATAATATAGAAATAATGTAAATATATATGCTCTAGTCATGCATGGTCAAAATCTTGTATTAACTCTATTCATAAACACATGACAGTTTATAATTTTAAGTGAAAGAATACAAAAATGTAATTCCAATGTACAACTACAACCTTCACATATAGCAGTGAAATTAAAATTAAATTAAAAAATAATAATAAATGTGATTTTTTTTATTATTTATTTTTTGTGCTAACTAACTAACAATCTTTATAAACAGAAGAATCGACCACCGACGAACAAATTTGCTTCTTAATAACTGAATTAAAATCATGATTACCATTACCGCGTTGAATTATTGCGTAACTGTGTCCACTGAGTGAACTCGCTTCCGGAATAAACTCGTTCAAGACAATTAACTGAACATTCTTGCTTCTCAAAAGAAACTCGTTACTCGCGAGTTGACTCAGTACACCCGATTCAGAAACCGAGTTCTTCTTCTTCCTATGCTGAGTCGCGGCTCGGACAATCTCGACCATCACCGCATTAGACAACCGTCGAACCCCGCGAGCTCCGCCTATGATGAGAGCCGGTAGAACCGCGCGCTGAGATGGTTGAGTCTTCTTCCCGTGTTTGTTGAAGAGAAGAACCGATTCAGGACTACGATTCTTGACTCGGCTAAACGGATCACGGAGTATTAAAACGCTTTTGGCGTCTACTAGCATCACGTGTTTGAAGTTGCGTCTGACACGACCGAGTAGCATTGGGTAACACGCCCAGCGTCGAAGAGTGAACGGAACTCGGTCGAGAAACCCGGATAGCGAGTTTTCTGGGTCGAGTTCAGTAGTGTCGAAACTCAGTACCGATCCATAACTCAGTGAAGTAGCACCAGCAGTAACATTATTATTCTGTGTTTTCAATTTGTTACCCCATAAAGGTTCTCCAATGTGATTATTTCCTTTGTGTAAAAAGCGAGAATTGTTGAAAAATGTGTTGTTGGAAGAGTGAAGGAGTTTTGTGAAAGAGTGATTCTCTTGTTGAATAATGGTGGAGAAAGATGAAGTTGAGGAAGGTGAAGAGAAGATGAAAACGACGTCGGTTGAGGAAATGATAGTGGAGCGATGGAGGAGTCTTAGGAAGAAGCGAAAGTCATCGTGGGTGGTTTCGTCTGAGACGTGGGAGATGAGGAGATCAGACATGGGTCTGGTTCCTCGGAGGTAGAGGGTGCCCATTTTCTGGAGGGCGAAGTGGTGGTGGTTGTGGAGGAGGAAACGGCGTCGTGATGGGGAAGGTGGAGAGGTGTTGGGGAGTGTAGAGAGGGTGAAGAGAAGTAGCGTTGTGAAGAGGAGGAGAGCGCAGATTGAGATTGTGGATTGAGCTTTGGAGATTATGAGAGATTTTGATGAAGATAGCGGTGAAGATGAAGATGAAGATGAACATGAAGGTGAAGAGGTTTGTGGGAATAATACTAGGAGGAGATTCATGTTGGAGTTTCGGTCGTCGCAGGTTGTTTTTGTCATTGTTGAGAGAATGGTGAGTGTTGTTGTTGGTGATTGTTAATGGAAAGAAAAAATGAATGTAATTGGAAGTGTTTTGCTATAGAAGTATGTGATGATCTGATGTGCTACTGTTGTTGAGTCATATGCTTCACACACATTTTCATTAAACCACACCAACACTATACTATGCTTTACTTTACTCCTCAAATTCTAGACTCTACTACTATTATGGAACAACAACAAAAGAAAAACTCTAGCACTATTTATTTGGTTTTATGTGATTATGTTATTTCAAAACTCAATTTTAAACACTATATCAATGTGTCTATTTGTTTTTGTTTTTTTTTATCTTTATACACTTTTATAACTTTAAAAAATATATCTTAAAGTGAAAAATGACACCTGTTGAGATATTCATTTTAGGTATTTAAAAATTATTTCTCTTTATATTAAATGTTTCAATATTTATTATAATTATATTACTTGTTTTTTACATCTTTAATAGAATAAAACAATCATTATACTAAATTTTTTAATAAGTTAATTTTTTCTTTTTTTTCTTTTTATGTGTTGGATATAAAGCATAAATGGAAAAAATGAGATATTTAAGACTTTAAAAAATAGGAGATAATTTGATCCTAAATTTATTTTATTTCAAAAAACAAATTAAAATTGTATTTTCTCTTTCTTTTTGTCAAATGTAAAATATAAAATTTCTTTTTCTTTGCAGAGATTAATATAATTTTTTTTTTGAACTTATGTAATATTTTTTTGGTTTTATTAGATTCAATTAGT